GTAATACTCTTCTAAAAAAGTTCAGGTAGCAGAGAGTGAATCATGGGAATGCTTTCCTGCAGGCTCTCTAGAGGACATGCACTTTCCGTAGTAGCATCAAGGTTGTAAGTGGAATTCGGGCATGTGCATAAAGAGAAGAGTGAAACAGAATGGTAAGTCCTGAACAGGCTTGAAACTGTTGCGCTCGCATCTAAGGAAAAGACTCCTCCAAACATTACCATAGCAGCCAGAAATCACTTAGTAGCATTACATGGAAAGGCAATTAAAAAGAAGTAAAAAAAAAAAAGGTAAAAATATCACAAAGCATCACTTAAGGACAACCTTACCAGGAAATTCAATATTTGTAAATGAACTGATCATAGAAGATTCACGTGGATGGCTTTATAGATCAGCATAATCCCAAATCCAGGTAGGTTAAATGGTGAAAGATGAAGATATATAACATCCCAAACTACAAACATCTGCAAGACCAGGCTTCCTGGGAAAAACATAAAAAGGGTCTCATACTGTACTATTGTATTTTGTTAGTTTAAAGGCTCCTTCTCATTCCGGGGACATGGACTGAGCTATAATCATCACTTGGAAATTGCAATTTGGTACAGCTGTCTTTTGCCTTAGCTGTCAGCAGCAGTGGTGGCATTTTTTTTGCAAATAGCCATGAGAGGACATGATCCCTGCAGGTCAATCCTGACCACAATTTGAGCCTCAGGCAGGACTATCTCCGTGTGGTCTCTGTGACTTGCCGGCGTTGGCAAGAGCAGGCTGAGAATCTCAGGAGAGTTGAATCAGTATTTGAGTATTTCCTAAGTATGTGACAATTATCCTGAGGTATCACCAAGAACTGACTGCATACGTGCGCAAATAATGATGTGACCGTTGCTATAAAGAAATCAATTTCCAGTGTGTGTATGTTATTTCATGTTATATTCTTGGATTATTTTCTTAGTCATTAAGAGTTGAAAAAACCCCCAATCCTACCAGCAAATGAGCAATTGTACCATTTCATGGCCTCATTGAACTACACTGCCTCATAGAGACAAAAATCCCATAACTCAGATGTCTCTCTCTCTCTGCTGGCAAGATTAATACAAAAGAAATTATTCCACAAAGCAGTAATATAGAAGTTCAACTGCATTGACACCACTACAGCAGCCTCTTACTATCTCTCCAAGAGTTTCCAGACAGTCATACAGAGGAAGGAGACTTTGTGGACACCTGTATGTCCAAAATCCCACTCAAGGAGCACTTCTGCCGTACTCACTGAATCTTGCTTTTCTATTGCAAAATAAAACCTTCCAGTTCCACTTAAACCTCAGTTCTCACTCACAAAAGCATGTTGTTTCTTTCTGGTAAACACCACAGGAAAAGGTTAAGTCTATTTTTCACTCTTTAGTTTCCTCCCTAAGGGCATTTCCTCTACTAACACAGGAATGAATTAAGCCCTTTGCATTGGTTCATCTCCCTCTCACCCTCCACAGCACTTATGTAACCATCACCTGAATGTTCAGAAGCTGGTACAAACTTCAAAAGGCTTTCTCTCCATCACTACTCTTAGTTACTATCTAAAAGAATAAATAAAAGCTCATTTGCCAAAATTCATGGTACCCTGGGCTGTCAAGAATTTCCTTGGATTAAACAGCAAAATTTGTTAGCTTCTAAAACAAAAATACATTTCCCCCAAAGTGTGTTTTCCCCCTGAAATCTCTCAAACTAATTTAGAATTACAAAGGTATAGAAAGGGGACAGTTTTGCCTAGAGAAAGTTTCTTCACATTCCAGAGGAAACATCTGAGGAGAAAAATGCTTGTTTCAGAGTTTACAAAGATTTGAAAATGAACTGAAAATAAATCCAAAATAAAACCATACATTTTAAACCAAATCTTTTTGTATTAGAAATGGAGTACTTTTTTTATACAAACCTCTTCTTCTTCCCAGTCTATCAAGTCCCAGTCATAAGCAATTACTGCTCGCCTTCTTTTCCAAAACTCCAGGAAAACAGTAGCTGGAGCAAGTAGAAAAAAGATACAAAATTGTTTTTAAATCAAGAAAATGTTAATGACTATCACAGAACTGTTGAAAGAAGCCGTTACATTATTTTCATTTCTTTGCATAAATGAGTTACTTTGAAAAGCAAATCATGCTGATGATCAAAACTACTTTCAAAAAGCATTGCTTTCTAAGGATTAGTTTGCTTGCTTCAAGTATGATTGAGGCTTTAGAGATTTCATTTAGAGCTAAATGAGAATGTTTAATTTCTAACCAACCAAGGGAAGGCTCTCAAAGAATAAAACTGTTCCTGTGAGTCATCACAACTAGATATAGCAGATTTCTGATGAAGCTAAAGGTTTCTTGGGGCTATTGTAGATAAAGCAATAACTTTCCTTCTTTGAAGACCATTTACAATACACAGAAATTAGAACCCAGAGGAAGCACATTCCAGAGCATGTGCAAATCTGTAGAATACTGCTGAGGTAACTGGAACTTCTGTTTTACACCTTTCTAATCCAGACCCTTTTTTTCACACTACATGAGCTCACATATGTTGTGTGGCAAACATCGCCCTGTACAGTCCTTACTGATAGAGTTCAAGATAGAGTAAAAGAATCTCAGAATCATTAAGATTGGAAAAGACCTCTGAGATCATCTACTCCAGCCTATGACCTAACACCACCAAGTCAACTAGACCATGGTACTAAGTGCCTTGGCATGTCTTTCCTTAGGCACCCCCAAGGATGGTGACTCCACCACCATCCTGGGCAGCTGGTTCCAATGTCTAATCAACCTCTGTGTCAAGAAATTCTTCTTCATGTCCAACTTGTGACCAGGTTATGGTGCAATCCTTGCAGGAAGGGGATCTCCATGGTACCCTGTATTAACCACATAGCAGCTGTCAACCAAGAGAGATGAGTAGATATCTTGCTGTTGAACCAGAAACTCTGACAAAATCACTGTCCTCAGATAAGCTTGGTTCATTATAGTCTAATTGTAACACTAACACACACATCTATCCCAAAGTTACCTGTCTCCAAGATATGACCACACCTCATGGAGCATGCACTTTATATTTTAATGACTATATCTTTTAGAGCTAAGTGAATTTTACACCAATCAGTAACAAAGGTATGTATGACTAGAGTCAGTCAAGCTCCACCTAAATGTAAAGAAATAGTACAAAAGCTAAGAATGAGGAAAAACTAGGTAAGAATCCATTGTAATTTCTGGGATTGGTCAACAGGCTGAACCTGTCTCCTCCCCCATAGGGTGGCTGGTTGGGTAAGAACCAAATAATCATCATTGCTGAATAATCATCTTCAGCTAACTTTCATTGGTGATTGCAGCTTGTTTGTAGATTGCTTTGAATAGGTTTTTGCAGTCAGGTACTATCACCGTCAAATCTTTGAACCTTAATCTGTCATGATTTTCTATTATCAGTGTTTGTATTAATAGAGGGTTATCCCCTAAACTCTTAGTGTGAGTCCTTCAAGGGTGCTAGCAGTTACCAGCAGCAGGTAACATACTCGACTAAAAGTCTGGAGACTCAGGAGGGGATCT